CCGCGCCCTCTCCTTCCTCGCCGTCTGCCCTCCACCTCCTCCCCATTCTCATCCGCTTCCTTCCCCTCTTCTCCCCCTCCTTTCCCCCGTGGCCATCCTCCGCATCCCTCGCCCCCTCGCCCCCCTCCCTCTCCTCTCCTCCGCGAGGGGCGGCCCGCCCGCCGCGATCTCGCAAGGCCGCCCTTCTTTTTGGGGACGTGCGCCGGCGCCTCGCCTCCGCCTTCGCCTCGCCTCGCCCCCTCCGCCGCTCTCTGCCCTCGCGGGGCCCGCGTCGGCGGGTGTGGCTGAGGCCTCCCGGCGGCGGCAGGTCTCGTAGCCCGCAGCCGCGGAGGTTCGAGGGCCTTGTTGCGGATCCCCGCTGCCCGCAGCAGTCAGAGGAGCCTCGGAGGTGGGGGGAGTGGGGTGATGACGATGTCGATGTCGACGGCGGCGGCGGCGGCGACGACGACGGCTACGAGGACGAGGACGTGGACGAGGACGACGAGGACGAGGACGAAGTCGACGACGACGACGAGGAGGAGGATGATTACGATGAGGATGGGGATGGTGATGATGAGGATGATATTAGCGATGTCGATGATGATGCTTCTGATGATGATTGCTTTGCTGATGATGCTGGCGATGGTCGTTGCGATGACGGCGATGGCGATGTGCTTCCCTGGCAGCGCCGCGCGGAGAGCGCCGCTGCTTGACGCCAGCAGATAGGTCTTTGCACGGTCTAGCTCTAGCGTGTGAGCGCCATGGTCGAACCTCTGCGCCCATGGGACGGTGACGGTGACGATGCCGATGATGACGACGACGTTGATGATATTGTTGTTGATGATGCTTATCAACATGATGCGGACTCTTAGGACTGGTGGTGACGCTGCTGATGACGACGACGAGGGAGATGATGATAATGACGGTGACGATGACGAACTGCTGAATCTATGGAAGATTCAGAGCAGGAGGATCAGAGGAGGGACGATAATGCGGAGGAGGAGGATGAGGCGGACGTAAAGCATGATGAGGATGGGCAGGACAAGGGGGATGAGATGGGGACGGGAAGGAGGAGGAGGAGGAGGAGGAGGAGCGATACGAGGAATCGGGGTGGGAGTGGGGGAGAGGAGTGGGGATGAGGCTGATGATGATGATGATGATGATGATGATGATGATGATGATGATGATGATGGTGGTGGTGATGATGATGATGAGGTGACAATGATGATGACGATGATGATGCTGATGGTGCTGATGATACTAAGGATGACGATGCTGATGGTGGTGACGATGATGCTGCTGCTGATGCTGATCCTGGTGGTGATGCTGATGCTGATGCTGATGCAGATGATTATGATGCTGATCCTGACGATGATGCTGATGCTGCTGATGCTGATGCTGCTGATGATGGTGATGATGCTGCTGCTGATGATGATCATGATGATGCTGATGGTGCTGATGCTGATTATGGTGATGTTGATGAAGACGACGACGGCGATGATGCTGATGCTGATGATGATGCTGATACTGATGATGATGCTGATACTGACGATGATGCTTATGATACTGATTATGCGGATGATGATCATGATGGTGATGATGCTGCTGATAGTGGTGATGCTGATGACGATGCTGCTTCTGACGATGATGATGCTGACGATGCTGATGATGCTGATAATGATGGTGGTGGTAATGATGATGCTGAGAATGATGATGATGCTGATGGTGACGATACTTGTGCATGAGGATGGATGATGACGATGGTGATGCTGATCATAACGATTCTGATGGATGCTGATAATGATACTGATGCTGATGATGCTGCTGCTGATGACGATGATGATGATGATGATGATGATGATGATGATGGTGGTGGTGGTGGTGACGACGACGACGACGATGGTGATTGTGATGATGGTGGTGGTGCTGCTGATGATGATAACGTTGTAGATCCAGGCCTTGCAATGAGCATCTCGGTAGCAGTCGTCTTAGGACTGTCTCTAGATAGCCTCCTCGGGGGGAGCAAGCACGGTAAGGAGCAGCGGCATGCAGTAATACAGAGACGGTGCGCGCCGCCGACGTTTGGCTCAAGGGAATATCATTACATTTGCATGGTAGCGGAGCGGTGATTCGTTTCACGGTTCCAACTGGGCCCCCCTCCAGCCTTCGCGATGTCCGGGGTCGACCTTCCAGGAGCAGCTGGCGCGGCGGGAGCGGGAGCCCAGTTTCCTCCCTTCGGCGGGGACAACGCACTCGGCTAGCTCAAGGAGTGGGCGGCCAAGGTGGACAGAAGATCGAAATCCTGCAGCGGGGGGCAGAGGAGGTCAAGGTCGGTGCCGTGGTGTTTTCGACTCAGCTCCAGGGGGATATCCAGAACTTGGAGGCCAAGGTGGTGGCGAACCTCAAGCAGGTGGCGGATGTGGGCGTGGCTGCGTTCACCAAGACGATCGATGACTTCAAGATCGAGCTGGGCAAGCACCAGTACTACCACAACCAGGCGCGCTCGGGGATCGTGCAGGTCGTGGCGCATGCTGCGGTCAAGTTCCAGGAGATTGAGAAGGCCATGCTGGGCAGCCAGAAGCAGATGCGCGACGTGGAACAACAGCTTCGGGCTCAGCTGCAGGCTGAATTCGCCGCTTTCGAGGGCCGCCTCGCTTGGCTTTCAGCGGTGCCGCCAGCGCCTGCGCCGCCGCTACCCTCCACAAGTGGGGGCTCTGATCCTCTACAGGTCCCAGGCTGGGACCCATGGGCCAGCCCGCAGCCGCCACAAGCCGCAGCAGTAGCAGCGCCGCCGAGCTCAGGAGGGAGCGGTTCGGCCTCTGGCCTCGCAGCTGATGGGGTCTCTCTTGGTGCCAGGTCAGCCAGGCGCCGTGAAGGCGTTCTCGGTCCATAACTGAAGTTGGGGGGACAACGAGCGCCTCGCCAGAGGCTTCCACCACGTGGCGGGGCCGAGCTCTTGTCCTGACGTGCGGCGGCTCCTGCTGTGGGCGGAGCGGCACGCGAGCGTGATCGACGCAGCTGCAGAGCGCAGGAGGGCCGCGGCGGCCGGGGGGACGGAACGCGTCGAGGACATCAGCTACGTCGTTCTCGAGGCGACCAAGTTCATCCTTCACGACAGTCTTCTGAGCCGCGCTCGCACCTGCGATGGTCGTGGTTCGGAGTTGTGGCGCAAGATTTGCTCCGCATTGGAATGTGCAGCGCCTCAGGTGGTGGCCGCGAGGGCCCGCAGGTTCCAGGACCCCGCCAAGAGCATCACTGTTTCCTTGCTTGGGAACAGCTGGGTTCGGAGGTGGTGGCTGGGGGCTGCACCGTTCCTGGTCGGTTGAAGGCTAACTCCGTGGAGAAGCGCCTGCCCGACGAGCTGGTGAGGACGGTGGCTGGGAGGCCAGACGGAGCCCGCGGGATTCGAGCCCACTTGGTGTGGGTCACGACCCCCGAAAGGGTACCCGAAGAGCACCAACCGGGCTGCGCACTGCGGGCCCGCAGGGAAAACCAAGCGGGAAAACGACAACATGGACGTTTGGAACCTCGTCCATGAGTCCGCGGCGAAGGGAGGGAAGGGCTGCTCGTCCTGGGGCGTGCGCCGCGGACACCTGGGACCGAAGGGGGCTTGGGACCTCCAGAAACCAAAGGGAGGGGCTCTCCAGGTAAGCGGTCGGATGCCCAGTGTCGTTTTGACGGCTATTGCAACCACTGCTGGCAATGTGGGCACCGCAAGCGGGAGCGCAGGAAACTCGATGCCAATGTGGCCAAGCTCCGCAGCTTGAACAACAGCGACGAGGGCACGGGGACCAATGATGAGAGGAGTGGCCAGGACGAGGATGCAGCGGCTGAGGATGCGCAGGGTGACGCATGGTGAATGGGCGGTGCTTTCGCGCTGTCGCACGACGACCCAGGAGAGGACGACCAGGAAGAGAGCAAATGCCACGAGGAGGGCAGCGACCAGCGAGCGGCCAGGAGGAGGGCGCAGCAGCAGAGGAGGACGAGCAGGGCGGCGCGTGCTGGAGGAGTGCGGCCTAGGCGCTCCCGCGGAACGACCCCGTCCCCACCTCGAATCGGTTCGACCCCTTCTTGGAGGGCGGCGTCGTCGAGCCGAGAATCGGCCGCGCGACCGGGGCAGAAGCCGTCCAGCGTGGAGCTTGCGGTGGTCAGTGCTGCTCTCGCCAGTCGTGGCCGACGCCCGCGGAACTTGCTTGTGTCCCGCCCCGCTCTGCGACGCCGTCAGGGCTTCCAATGGGGCCATCGGCTCGTGGCCTTCGCCCTGGCCAGGGGGTCGCCTGATGGTCTGGTAGATCCCTGAACTCCCTGGGTCGGCGCGCGGCCGGCGCCCGCCTCCTTGCAGCGGTTTGCGATTCGGGCGCAGTGGATTCAGTTGCGCCCCGCGGGGTGCGTTCGACGGCGCGGTGGGGCCGAACGCCATGTCGAAGGGCGGCAAGAAATCCAGGGGTCCAGGCAGCTCCGGGATATTTAATTTTGGACAGGTGGATGTGTCCTTCGAATCGGACGAAGGCCCCAAGTGCTTAATGACATGACAGGTGGCCGAGATCGAGCGGCCTCTGGTTGCCGCGCCGCACCTTTCGGCCGCGGGCAACGTGGCGGTGCTGGAGAAGGACGGGGGTGAGATCAACCACGAGGGAGCGGGGGGATCAAGATCCAGCGCAGGGGCGGCGTTTGCGTCGTGGAGATGTGGGCCCGTCGTGATTGGAGTCGCGCCTGGAGTCGCGCCCGCGCCGCGTCCTCTCGGGGATTCGCGAAGCGGGCCGAGGATGGCTGGGAAGCGCGTCCGGGCCTTTTTCACTGCCATGTCGATGAGGCGGTGGGGCCCCTGGAGACCCCTGCTGTAGGCGCGGAGGGCGCCTCCTCCAATGTGGCTGCCAGCGTGCCGCCGAGGCGGCGAACTAGGCCGCCGTCTGGACCGAGTCGGGCTCCTCCCGTTCCGACCTCGTCGACTCCATGCGGGCTCTGAAAGCGGCGGCCGGCGCCGATCCGCTCCCAGATCTGGGCCGCGACGAAATCGGCCGCCTGGTCGCCAAGATGGCGCTTGACAAGGCCAAAGGCGTCGACGTGCTGAGGCCCGCGGACGTTCGGCGTCTGCCGAGTGAGGGCCGCTCGCAGTTCGTGGCGGCTTCGAGTCGCGCAGAGTCCGCCGGGGCGTGGCCAGTTCAGATCTTGCTCGCGGTCTGCGCGACCCAGGCGAGACCCAGGGGATGGGGGCTGCGTGATGGTGCTCGCCCCCGCCATCATGGGGGCGCGGTCTCGCGCCCGGTTCTGGCGCCGCCGACCGATGGCCAGAGCTGCAGGCCCGACTCTGGGGCACCGCGGCGCGGGGGTGTTCGGCGCTCCGCGCGGCTCTGGCTAGGGCCGTCCTCGACGAGGCGGCGCGCGAACTGGGGTGTCAGTTCGCTTCGATTTTCGCGGGTCCGGGAAATTTGTGCGATCGCGTTGGCGCGTCTAAGGTCCGAGGGCGTTCGAGGCCCGTTCGACGGCCAGTGAGCTCGTCTGTCCGCGTCGCTCCGTTGCTGCCTCTCGCGCATGGCGGGCCGCGATCCTGCAGTCAGCTCAGACGCGCGGGTCAGTGCTGTGTCGCGTAGGGGGTGCTGCCGGAAGCGAGCAATGATGCAGGGCCACCTCGCTCCTGGTGCCTTCCCTCGCCTCCCCGACCGTTGGGGGCGCGGGGCGGGGCGGGGGGCGAGGCTGGCCTGCGTGATCGCCCCGGCCAGTCCTCGCCCGCGGGATCGTCGCCTGCCTCGAGCGGTTGAATTCCCGCTTCTGGACCGCCTGCAGCGCTGACGCTTTTTTCCGCGTGTCCTTGAGGTGCTCGAACACTAGGGCCGCCGTGGTGCCGAACTCGTCAGTGTGCATCTCGTCGGCCCATGCGTTGCCAATCTTCCTGGGCAGCGCTGGCGGACTCCTGTGCGCGGGGGGCGACGGGGGCTGGGTGGCTGCCCTCCACCTGTCCTCCTTTGCCATCTCATCCGCCACCGCCGGGCCGCCCTCCTTCCTTCAACCCCATCCCCTTGGCCCCATGCCCCTTCAGCATCGGGCGTCAGCCTGCCTGCGCGCGTGTTCGCCGAGTGCGTCGGCCGATCGCGCGCCCCCGCTACCTCGCCCCCCCGCCCCCCCACCCCTGCGCGCTTCTTCAAATTTTCATCACGGGTGTTTGCGTTGTGGCGCCGGAGGCGCCGAGATGGGTGCGCACTTGGCAGGAGTTCGACCATTCGAAGTTCTGCGCAAGCACGCCCGGCGAGCGGCAATGAACAACAGTGCGATTGCCACAAACGCGACGCGGATCGTCGTCAGGACAGCAAGTGGCACGACGCGCCTCTTCCGCCAGCCCGCAAAGTCGGGTCGCGACCGGCGCCGGGCAAAATCGCACTCGTCGCCATCATGTTCGAATCTTCGCCGCGTCAATCATCGTCGTCATGCTTGCTTTCTGATGGGGTTGCCAGGGGCCCATTTTCTCCGTCGGAGTGAGGATGGCGAAGTCGTTGTTTGGGCCCAGTTGGGGACAGGCCCATATTCGTTCCGGGACCCGTTCCGGGATTATTGCCATCGCGTCCCCCGTAGGTCATTGGAAGTTCGTTCTCGATGCCATCGTTCGCATCGAAAGCGCCCGAGCTAGTCGAGGCTGCGGTCGGCCTCGGGTGCGCGCTGCCGCCCGTCGGTCGCGCGTCGAAGTTTCGGGGCGCGCGTCGAGGGCCGAGCGTGGGACTGGTCGGATCCACCGTTTGCGGCGGCGCGCTCAATTCACGACGACCTCGAAGGGTTTCTGGCTCCAGGGAACGCCCCCCCCAGGCGATTTACGGCCACCAGGCCATGGGCGTGCCCCCCAGTGCCGTTCTGAGATTGCACCGGCGGGCTTGGCATGCGATGGCAGGGAACGGCCTGGGCAACTGTCTTATTTGGTTCTGGGTTTTTGGCGTGGCGACCAGGACCCTGCCGTGTCGTTTCGTTCCCAGGTGCTTCTCACATGGTGAAGTTGTGGGGCCACCATCCTGAGCTCCGCGCTCGTGTGCCCCAGGCTTGGCCGTTCATTTTGAAACGACTGGGGGTTTAGCGAAGCATCGCTGGAGGCGCGTGCAAGGCCAGATTGCGTTCGTGCAGGCGACTCGTTTCGACGCGGGCTGGAAGTCCTCGAAGGCCGCTGGGTGGCGCCCCCCCGTCGCCGACGGTTCTAGAATTTGGCCCTTTCCCGACGCCCTCCTCGGGCGAGGGGGTTGTGGGCGGTTCGATTTTTCGGAGCTTTTCGCTGATATTCGGGACGATTTGCGGGTGAGGTTCTGGCAGGTGCAGCCGAGCATTTTTGGAGGTGGCCTGGAGATGGGGGCTGGCCTGGCCCTCGCTCGCGCTTGGCTCGCCAGCTTGCGTCGCGAAGAGCCCCGCGACCAGATGGGCCAGCTTGTAACGGTTATGTCTCGAGGCCAATGGCCCCACGACCGTCAGATTGAGGCTAGATGCTCTGCGTCGCCTGTCTGCCTGGGGTGTGGTGCCGCTCCAGACTCTTGCTTCCGCCGCGCATGGTCTGCGCGCCAGGCCTCTCATGACCTGGTCTTCGCGGTCCATGTGCGGCGTGACTCACTGCCTTCACTTTGAGTCCGTGGCTTTCCCCCTTTGGCTTCACGGCGCCGCCTTTTAAAGTTGTCGGGGACGTGGGGCGGGAGGTTGTTTCGGGGAAGTTTGGGAAGTTGGCGCTGCCGCTGCAGGCTCTTGACGTCGCCCCTGGCGGCGCGATCCTTGTCTTTTTGGACGGGTCCGGGGGTCTGTGTAGCAGCGACTCGGCGGCGGGGAGTAGGCGCCGCTGCGGTCACTTTGCTGTCGGCTCCCGACGGGTGGACCCTGCTCTCGGGAGTGGCGAACGCTCTCGGAGGGCGGCGCCATCTTGTCCCCCATGCCGAAGTAGAGGCGTTTGAGCTCGACTTCAAGACCTGCGATGGCCCCATTGCCTTCGTTGCTGATAGCGCTGCCCTGCACATCGGTTGGACCCAGCATCGTGCTGTTAAGTGCGCGGGCAGTCACTCGGGCGCATTAGTCTCGAATTCGCGAGACTTTCAAGGCTCGGGTTGGTCCGTCCATGTCGTCTGGGCGCCTTGCAGGTCGACCCCAGCAGCCCGTCGCTGCCCCTGGCCAAGCGCCACCCTGCGATCGGGAACGCCGTTGCCGATGAGCGTGCCGGATCCGGCGCTGCTCGTTCTTGGGATCTGGCCTTGGAGGGCCGTCGGGCCCCTGGCGCCGGCGAGTGGGGTTGCGCGGCCCACCTCGTGCGCGGGCGGGCCAGTCAGGCGATGGTCGATTCGATTGCCGGCGCCCCGTGGGCCGCCACCCGGCCTTGGGCATTCCGAGAGGCGAGAGACGGGCGGGACGGAGCGCTCCTGTCCAGTGCGCATTGCTCCACGTGGGCCCATAGTACATGAGTTTGCGCCCTGTGCCACCGCGTCCAGCATTGCCAGGGCCTGGTGCAGGCCTGTCCCGCGGATTGCCCTAGGGCTGGGTCCAGCGAGCAGGCCTTTGGGGGAAATGTTGCGGGGGCGGCGAGTGGGGCGATGGTGGGGGGCAAACCGCTGTATTACTCTCACAAGCTTGTCTTCCAGCTTCGATTCTTCATGCATTTTCGTTATGCTTGCGGCAAGACCGGCTCGACCGACCCGCGCCACCTTTTTGGGGTGTGCGCGCTGTCTAAGAAGGGCCATCATAACTGAGTCCGCATTCGGCGGGGAAAATGCGCCAGTCACTGCGGGCCGCTGGCGGCTGTCATCGAAACTGATATTTCCAGGGTGCGGCGGACGGAGTCCCGTCGAGGGGCTGCCTTCCCGTGAGTTTAACGGTGAATGTTTCATCTGCGTGGATTTTAGCGTTTTCAGAAGCCCATCGAAGTCCTCCTCCTCCTCCTCCTCCTCCTCCTCCTAGTACTATTACAACAACAACAACAACTACTACTACTACTACTACTACTACTACTTTTTAGTATTATTACTGCTATTACTACTTTTACTTCTACTACTACTATTTCTATTCTTACTACTACTGTTACCACTATCACTACTACCACTACTACCACTACTACCACTACTACTACTACTACTACTACTACTACTTCTACTACTACTACTACTACTAGTACTAGTACTAGTACTAGTACTACTAGTACTAGTACAAGTACTAGTACTAGTACTAGTACTACTACGACTACTGCTGCTGCTACTAGTACTGCTACTACCACTACCACCACTACTACTACTACTACTACTACTACTACTACTACTACTACTACTACTACTACTACTACTACTACTACTACTACTACTACTCATCATACTACTCATACTACTCACACTACTCATACTACTCATACTACTCATACTACTCATACTACTCATACTACTCATACTACTCATACTACTCATACTACTCATACTGCTATTACTATTACCACCACCACCACCACCACCACTACTACTACTACTACTACTACTACTACTACTACTACTACTACTACTACTACTACTACTACTACGACTAGGAATACTAATACTATCACTACTACAACTACTATTGCTACTCCTATTTCTACTTCTACTACTACCAATTCTTCAACTGCTACTATTCCTCCGCCCCCGCCCCCCGTAGACGTGGGCGTGTTCTTACTTTGGGCAGGGGCGTCGTGGCTTGGATCGCCTCGATGCGACCGTTCGTCGCATCAAAAATCTGACGCTCATCATTCCGCCCGTCCCAGTGTCGCGGGCGTCTCGCCGGCCTCGCCCGGCCCCGCCAGCCGCAGGCGGCGCTGCCCCAAGCGAGGTCGCCCGCCATGGGCTCGGAGCCCTCGCCGGGCGAAGAGGGCGCGCCAGAAGCCAGGAACGGCTCGGGCCTGCCGCGGTCGCCGCCGGCGCCGACGCTGTCGACGACGACGCCGACGCCGACGACGAAGACGTCGCCGGCGACGCCGACCAGAACGGCAGCGACGGCGATGCCGCCGCCGACGACGACGACCAGGACGGCGTCGACGGCGACGGCGACGGCGCCGCCGATGAGGACGAGGACGACGGCTGCGGCAGCGCGGAGGGCGGCGGCAGTGCGGAGGGCGACGGCGGCGACGAGGACGAGGGCGGCGACGGCGCGGAGGGTGGCGCCGGCGGCGACGACGACGACGAGGGGGGTTGGACATAGACCTGGGAGGACGCAGAAGAGGAGGAGTTAGGAGCGAAACAAGGGCGCACGCATGCATGAACTCACTTAGACGTCGAGGGAGCGCGCCCCGCCAGTTGTCAGTGAGGTGAGGGCGGCCTCGCGAGCTGGAGGGGGGGCATGCTCGCGTACGGTTGGTTCGCGTCGAGTCGACAGGCGGCGACCCCGCTGTTGGCGTTCAACGTTGAACGCCGCCAGCGACCCAGAATCGGTCGATGTTGAACGATCTGACGTCTCGGAAGCGGGCTATCGTTCAAGGTTGAACGATTCCCGCGGTGTCACAGACCAACGCCGAAGTCGACACGACACGAATTTGCCGTGCGTAATTTAGTGACTGGGCGCGTGCGTCGTTTCTTGCGCCCCATGAGGAGGGTCGGCGGCGAACTCAGGTTGGAAGTGAGAGGGGGGATGTCTTCTCAGAAGGCGGCCGCGCTTCTCAGAATTCGCCCCAGCCTTCTGAGAGGCCGCCTCTGTCTTAGGAGAAGACTTGAGCATCTTTTCAGAAGGCGCGAGGGCTTCGTAGACGCCCGCCGCCTTTGAGAAGGTCTGCCCCCTCTTACTTCCGCCCTGGGCTCGTCACCGAGAGGGGGAGGGATAGTCTTTAAGTCGGGCCTGTCCCTCCACAGGAGGTATTTTCAAAAATAGTAAAGGATTTTTTTCCCCAATCAGATCTTGTCTCTGTAGGGGTCCTAGCGGATTCATATGGTTAGGTGAGGTGGGGCGCCGATTTGGTGGCCAGTGGCCGGGTGCCTGGGTGCCCGGGGGTGCCCGGGGGTGCCCAGGGGTGCCCAGTGGCCGGGTGCCCGGGTGCCCGGGGGTGCCCGGGGGTGGCCAGTGGCCGGGTGCCCGGGTGCCTGAGTGCCCGGGTGCCCGTGGGTGCCCGGTGCCCCAGGATTTTGGCGGCCGGTGGCTGGGTGCCCGGGTGCCCGGGTGCCCGTGGGTGGCCGGGTGCCCAGGTGCTCGGGGGTGCTCGGAGGTGCCCGGGGGTGCCCGGGCACCCTACAGCCATACAGCCCTATAGCCTTATAGCTCTATAGCCCAATAGCCCAATAGCCCAATAGCCCATATAGCCCATATAGCCTTACAGCCTAATAGCCTTATAACCCTATAACCCTATAGGGCTATGGCCCTATGGCACTAGAGCCCTAGAGCCCTATAGCTCTAGAGCCCTGTAGCCCTATAGCCCTATAGCTCTATAGCCCTATAGCCCTATAGCCCTATAGCCCTAGAGCCCTATAGCCCTAATAGCCCAATAGCCCAATAGCCCTATAGCACTATAGCCATATAGCCATATAGCCCATCTAGCCCTACAGCCCTATAGCCCTACAGCCCTATAGTCCTATAGCCCCATGGCCCCAACACAAATCCGATTGGGGTTCTTCTCCGGTGCCATTCGTTTGTCGCTCAGAATCCCCCTGTAGGGGGACGCGCACGACTTACGGATGGCCGCGCGGCCACCTCGGAGCGCCGTGCGCCCGGCAGGGCAGGGCCGCGACAGACGGGCGGCGAGGGCGATGCAGTCTCGCTCGGACAGGCAGCCCCCCAGTAGCGATCGCGTCCACGGCCCACTTGTGCAAAGGTTTGACTCGGCTGCAGGCCGCTGCCCTCTCAATACGTTGAGCCTGCTTCTCGAACATCCTAGCCGGGGCCTGGATCACCACAGTTGTAACGCAACGCCGCAGTCCACGCGCCAAGTTCAGTGCAGGCCAAGCCCAGCTGAATCAGATGGTGCCCTCTTCCGTGTGTCTGTCTTGCCCATGCCCAGGTCGGAGTGCTCTGGTGAGTCTGACCCACCTCCTGCTGTCGTGGCTTTTGCGGTTGAGCATGCTGACTGGGTCCGGCAGGGCGTGCGCCACGTTCCGAAGACATCTTGGCTCGGATCCTGCAGCAGGTGATCCCATGAGGATTAGGCCGCCCACAGGACGCCGTGCATACATAGGACGGTGCGCCCTGCCGCAGTACTTCTCCGCGTTCTTTACCTGGTAGAGGTCGCAGAGGTCCTTCTCAACGAAAGTGATGAAGCTGGCGTGCAGGTCGTCCAATCGGGATTGGTCCAGAAGCTCGATCCTCAGGTCGCCTCGGGCCGCATCTTGTCTCACCACCTCTAGATATTGCTGCATCTGCGGTGGACCTGGTACTGGACTGGCTCCTGCATGTCGAGGTGCCTGGCGCGGAAATGCTCTGGGTGCACGTAAATGACCCTGGCTGTGCGCCCTCGGCTTCGCATCTACATTCAACCTCACTGGGTAGTGGGGCCTGGGCGTCCATGCATCAAGCACGAAGGGAGTACCGCATGCCCTGACAAAGTCAGGGGACGCCAACCAGTAAGCAATAGTCCGGTATGTGTCAGTCTTCGTCGCGCGGCACGTTGAAGATGGCGCCGCGACCGCCGCTGGTAGCCCCCTCAAGAAGCCAAGCTCCTCAAGTAGCTGTGGCTCCGCATTTCAGCCACCTGCGAACAGGAATGGGGCCGAGACATATCGCATGCACTCTGCAATGCGCATGAGCTTCTGGTAGTTGCCGTAGAGGTAGTCTGTCGTCGGAACCGATTCCATGTAGGCCGCGCCCACGGTGAATCCTCCTCGAACTCCCGCATGCATGTGAACTGCCGCCGCCCACGAGCGCAAGACCTCAAAACCGCCATTGACGCACCCTGGCCCACTCAAGAGAGTAGTGGACACGTGCGCATTGACAAAGATCCCTGCGCCCGCGCTCGGCAGCTTTGACTCGAGCCTGCGACGTGGACTGATGAATGGCTGCCATCCATTCCGAGTAGCCCACGTTCTCGCAGAGTCGAGCGCCTCTCCATCAAGTCGTAGCTCCTGTGCTGTCACCGCCAGCGCGTCTGCCGCTCCATGCTGTAGGAACTGTTGGACGGTGCGCCCGCATGATCCGCTGTACGGCACGATGCCAGTCACCGACCTCTTTGCCCCCCCTGGGGGCCCTCCTACGCGACGCCTGCGAACTCCCAGCGGGCCGTCTCACCGCCCTGCGCCGCAGCCAGGTGCTCGAAAACGTTGGAGGTGCCATGGGGTTGCTGCTGATTGCGGGTGTCGCAGGTGCTGCTGCAGTGGCGCTGGCACCTGCGGGCTGCCCGCCCGCGGCACGGACAGCCTCCCCTGCCACGGGGGCGCCTGACTGCGGAAGAGCCTCACCCAGCGCTCGCACATGGCACATGGCCGGCTGCTCCAAGCTTTGCGCCTCCCACAACGTTGCGGTCCTGGCCCTGCTGGATGGACGCGTGGGCGCCCTGGGTAGCTGCAGGGCGACCACTGTGGTAGCTGAATATCCTCCATCTGCAGGGGCGGCGTTGGCGATCCTCGCCTGGGCGACCTCCGCGTTGGACTCCTCAAGTTGCATCTGGACCATGTCGAGCTTCTCCTTGGTCTTCGCGAGCTTCTCGGTGAGGTCATCAACCTCCGTCTGGTACTTGGCACTCTTCGACTCACAAGCGGCGTGGCGATCCAGCGCCGAATGCAGGACGTCTGCTTGCCATGTATGCCCGCTCCGCTGCCTCAGCCTGGGCGAGCTCCGCCTTGGCCGCGGCCACGAGTTGATGCTGGTCGTCGTAGATGGCGCGCAGCGCCCTGACAGCATTTCTGCAATTGGCCACGGCATGGGACTCCAGGCTGCTGGCGGTGCTGGCGCTGGCGCTCCATGGAGACATCCCTGTCGGCAGCGGCACTCCGCCCATGACGTACAGCAGCAGCACCTGCTGAGCGAGGCCTGCCCAGCGAGCGAGGCCTCTGTCGCGTCTTCGCGCCCTTGGCGCCTGTGCGTCTGCCCAAGCGGTCCCTGCCGCATGTCCAACAGGTCTCACCACTCGCGAAGTTGCTGGCGAAGCCGCAAGCCCTCGTGGCAGCACGCGACCAGACTGGGCCTTCAGCTCCTCGTGCACGAGGGGCGCGCTGCTGCCATGGCGCCGCCCTGGACAGTGGGGCTTTGCCATGGCCTCGCTGTGATGCCCCTCCAAGGCCCTGCGGGCCCCCGCCTCGCGGAGGACCTGGCGGGCTGAGGCGCGTCGCCGCCGCAGGCGCCTGTGCCACGCGGGCGATGGCGTCCGCGGACCGCGCTGGCGGTCCGCCGTCGCCTAGGTGCACTAGCGCCCGCCGCGACCCGCCGGTTGCTGGGGCCGTTGAAAGCGCCCGCCGTGCGCCCCCGCGCGCGTGGGAACCCGAGCGGCACGAGGAGGAGGAGGAGGAGGAGGAGGAGGAGGCCCAGTGTAAACCCACGAGGCATCAACGATGTCTGAATAAACCCTCCCTCCACGCTCCCTTGTCATAGGCTCCATACAACGGTTCATTTTAACTGAGGGAACTGCCTCGTTGGAAGACAACTGGTTGAAGACCCTGAAGCATGCCAAAACATTGTTCTCGGGATTCCAACGCCACGGATCGACCTGACTGTTGCGCCTTGACGATCATGGATCGTGCCAGAGCGCCATTCCTGCGACTTGAACACCGCGAATTAACATAACTTGTACACCCCCATAAGCCTGAATCCTTCCAACACGCCTTTTTTTCTGGTACGTTGATCATGGGGATCCGTGAACATCTGGCAACATTTTAGAAAGAATGTGCGCGGCGCACAGGCGAGAACCACATTTTGAAAAAGAGCCGCCATCAATGCGGGAAACTCTTGCACATTTTCAAGACGAGTGTGCGCGGCACGAAGGCGAGAGCCACATTTTGAAAATGAGCCGCCCTCAATCCGTGAAGCTCTTGTACATTTTAAGACGATTGTGCGCGGCACTAAGGCGAGAGCCACATTTTGAAAAGGAGCCGCCCTCAATCCGTGAGGTGCTTGCATTCTTCAGACGAGTGTGCGCAGCGCTAAGGCGAGAGCTATGTTTTGAAGACCACCCGCCCTCCATCTCTCAAAGTGTTGTCAGTTTTTAAGCTACAGCGTCATGAATGGTGAGGAAATCTCAGGCGAAACGCCTGGCCCGCCCTAAGTATTGGCCTCGGGGTGCGACAGGGGGGACTTGTTTGGAAGGAAAAGGAATGGAGGAGAAGGAAAATGAAGAGGAGGAGGAGGAATACTCACAATGTTAACAATGATGCTATTGATAACAGGAATGGTTTTTATATTTCATAGAACAATAACACGATTATTGATAACGATAATCATTTGAGTCGAATGACATTGTTAAGAGTGTTAGCAATACGGCTAAGGCACCACATTCTATTTTGTACATAAATAACAATAGTGAATTGAGCAACGCTTAACAGCCTTTATTACGAAGCCAGCATACATAAACATGCGAATAATACTTTATACGAATAATACTAATACTATTACGGCCAAGGAGGGGAGGAGGAAGGAAGAGGAGGAGGAGGACGAGGAGGATGAGGAGGGGGAGGAGGGGGAGGGGGAGGAGGAGAAGGAGCAGGAGGAGGAGGAGGAGGATGAGGATGATGATGATGAGGAGGAGGAGATATCAGGAGATATCGGAGAGCGCACCAGGGTGCGGCCACCGCCTCGAGAACTGCTCACTGCGGCGAGGTAAAATAGTAGGCGTTCACGGGAGCGCGGCACGGCAACAGGCACTACAAAAGCGAGTGCCGCCGTACCATAGGACATGAAGCCAAGACAATCCGATGAGCCTGAGTCGACACCGCCCTGTGACGGTGGCTGCTCATCGCGAGAGTCGGCGAAAGGTCAGGCCATGTACACGAGACCGAGCCGACGCGATCTAAATGCAAGTATATGCAACGAAAATAATGCAAATAGTTTGCGGGTACCTGCCGAAACAAGATGGTGACGCAGGCGGGCTCGGGGCAAACCCGGCAACGCCGACACACCTCGGTCAGAATCGTCGGACAGATCCGGCGACAAGGAGTGTGAAGACTGGGCGTCCAACCCATGCCAGGAAGCCGCCGTGTCGCGCGTAGGCGTCGCATGGCCAGCAGGGCCAGTGGAGGCGGATGGCCTTGCTGCTGCCACCTGGCCCTGCATGCTGGGGAGAGCGCCTGACGGGCCAGCGCCAGCTCGAGTGGCTGGCTGGCCAGCAGGGGCGCGGTCCTCCCCTGGGCAGAATGAGCTGGGGGAGGCTTGCGGCCTTGCTGCGGCCTCCTCCTCGTGAGAGGCACAGGGGGAAGCGGCGCTCGAGCCGACCGCGGCGGCCTCGGGTCGGCTTGGGGCACAGGCCGCAGGAGAGGGCTGACTCGGGGCAGCCCCGGCACGGCCCCCTCCCTGCGCCGACTCGGATGCGTCGGCCGACGCGCCGACGCGGGCCTCGGCGGCCACGGCAGCGTGGCGGGCAGCCCTGACGTACGAAGTATGCCCATCGCGTCCAGCGTGGGCCCTTGTGATTTCCCCGCGATCGATCTTCGGGAGGTTCTCGCGGCCTTTTCTTGGCAATGCCAGTGCATGCGGCCGCGAGGTGACGAGGGTCTCGAATCGCGGTCTTTCCACGCACTCGGCAGACATGCAGTATGTATTTCGGCAGATAACGCAGGTTGTGAGACGCGGGGAGTACACGTCCGCCCACCATGACAGGGAGGTCGGCAGGGGCGATCGCGTCACTGGCAGTGAGGGCGGGGGCACGAACCACGCACGGGGTGCCGCGCGCCTCTAAGATGCGGCTCCGTTCGGCCGAGTCCCCGCACACAATACAATTAAACTTGCTGCCACAAAGCTCGTGCTCATGTTGGCTGTCCTGGAGGGCCCCCTGGAGCCTGCGCGGCCCTTTTGCCTTGGCCGTCGAGGCCCGCGCGCACAACCAGGGATCCGCCGCCATGGAATCAGCCAAAGCCCTGCGAGCTCTGCGACAAATCTACACGCATTGGGCATCGTGCAGGTCGGTGGGTGGGGCTTCACCCACCAAGGCTCTCAGCCACGAAATGCGCGGTGCCTCGCCAGCCTAGGCGTCGGCGCACGCGTTGCCAGTCATCAGAAAGGCCTGGCGGGGGTTGCGGGCGAGCCCCGCAATGTCCTCATTGTGTGAGGGGGTCCACTCCACCTCGACTTCGCCAGCGCCTCTAACCTGAAAGACACGGGCGATCCGCTGCCACAGGTCAGTGTTGGCACCAGCACGCGGCCGCTCTTGCCTGCCACCCTGCCATGCCGCGAGCAACGGGAGGTGGTCGGTGACGGTGACGAACAGGGCGCGGCCAGCTGAATTCTCCAGCGCGAGAGCAAAAGCCGCGAGCTCTGCTCGAGGCACGGTCTGAAATGGGCCTTCTAGGCCTGACGGGAGGCCGCCCCGAGGTTGCTATCGGCCCTGTTAGCGCTTCAAAGCGATGGCGGCCGACCCCGCGCGGCGACGGCGTGCGTCTGCGCTGAACAGCCCGCCGGACCCGTCGCCGACTATCGCCAGAAGGCCGCCCCTGTCCCTGCACCCCCCCCAGCCCCGCCCAACCCAGCATCGCCCATCGCCTTTTCCCAGACCAGAAAAGACGGGGTGCGTGTCGGCGCGAGCGGGGACGCCTCGAAATCAGTAGGCATGCTGGGCCTCTGCGGAAGCAAGGGCCGACGGCATCCAAGCATCAAACTTGTCGTAGTCATCGTCCCCCTTGTTGCGTGGGCACGGCCGCGCCCGATGCAAGAGGTCCTCCGCTGCCTCACCGCGTCGTTTTCAGGTTGTCGATCTCGTAGCCCGTCTCCGCCATGCGAGACCTCGTCCACTGGCCGCCAGACGCTGCGCGCAAGTCGAGGGCCCAGAGGTCATGGTGACCATCCCTGATGCTCTTGTCCATCTCGAGCGAGATGTTGCCAGTGTCAGGACCGCCGCGCTGGAAGCCCTCTCCATCGGGGTGCTTCGCCGCGGACTCCCGGAGGCTATCCTGGAGTCAGAGGACGAACACTCGTGCGTGAACTCCGTAGGGGTCCACCCTGTGCCGCTTTTCCTCCCAGTTGGGCATCGGCAGGTGCGGGGTGATCCGCGTCTGAGGGCTGGGCTCGCCAGGCCTCGCAGCCCTCGACCACTCCATGGGGGCCGGACACTCCCATCCCGCGGCGACGAGGATCGCGATCGCGGCGGAGCTCGGGCCGACTACCTTATGCCACTTCTTCTTGCCGAGATCCGCCGTTCGCGAGTGGAGTCTCCGCCGCGCCTGCTTGATGCGCCGGTGATGCCGCGGGTGGTCGAATCGGAACTTCAGCCGCTCGTGCGCGGACTGGCGCGCGAGCTCCAGCGCGGGGACCTTGTCGCCGAGGGCGACCACCAACGCCGTGGTCAGGCACCTGCCTGGCGCATTGCCACCGACAGCCTGTAGCGCTTGGCGACGCTGCAGCAGCGCCTGGGACGGCGCCAGACCCATGATGTGGCGCCCGTAGATGCCCTGCGGTCGGGGCCCAGTCGTCCAGAGGCCTTTCGACGCCTTGGCAAGCGAAGCGTGCTTGCGAAGTTTGGACGAGGTGCGAGACGTGCGGGCCGAAGCCTTGGCAGCTCTGGATTGCGCCTTGGCGGTGGCGAGACGCCTGGCGCCTGCAGTGTCGATGCCCAGGTCGGCGCTGTCGTTGGCCACCTTGACGGATGCCCCCTTCGCCCGCAAGGCCACGTGCGCGGACTGGGCTAGGGTGCGGCTCGAGGCTATGACGGTGGTCTTGGGCGAGACCTCGAGCTCGGCTTCCTCGAGTCCCGCGCAGAGGGCGCTCCCTGCGCCCGCGAGGTCTCGGACCGCCTGCTTCTCTTCGCGTGTCGTCAACGAACGCCCACAGGCCCGCGTAGGCGAAGTTGGCGTGAGCCGCAACATGGTGGGCCCGATGTACGCAGTCGCGAACTTACCCCAATGCGCGCTGCCTGCGACGATCGAACGTTGGAGGTCGATCACGTCGCTGGTGCGGGGGAACCCTGGTCCACGGCTACGTGCAGTAGGCGCTGCAGGTTGACGCTGTCGTAGAAGTTCTCGATATCCAAAAGCAGCGTCGCGAACGCGATGCCGAACTCTGCGCGGGTCTCGTCGAGTGGCGCTCGCACCTGCACGGCGCGAAGATCATTGGTGGCCGTGTCCCAGAACTCCCCGAGGTCGTCTGTCCACTGGTCAGTGATCGGAGCACGGAGCTTGCTCCGCACCTTGAGGACAGTCGCCAGCATGCCCGCGATGCGTCTGCCCCCCGAAGGCTGGGGATGCATCGCTCCGATTGTGGCGCGCATCTGCTGCGGCCGCAGCCCCGTCCGCTCGACCTCGTTGAGAAGATCAGCGAACTGCTGGATGCCTGCCTCGGGGAGCCTCTGGATGTCAGTGGGGCCGATCTTGTCGATGCCCATCGTCTTCTTGGGGTCGGCCACTCCGACCGTCGCTCGAATCTGGTCCGCAGTGATCTCGTCGAGCGGCCTGTCCGAGGCCCTCGCGTGGACCTCCATGTAGGCCTGGTAGAGAGCCTCCTCGTCGTGCGTGGGCGTCTCCCAGATGCCGTTCCACATCTCCGCGGACGCCTTCATGATGAGCGACGGCGCGCCCAGCGTGACACCGCCGTTCATGGCTTCGAGCTTGGGTGGGCTCGGGTCCTCGACGATCCTGCGGGGCTTGCCTGGGCTGTCCTTCAAGGCCGTCTTGGCCCACTCGAGGAGCCGCTTGCGCGATCGGGCATGCGCCCGACCCAATGCCCTGTTGGCCCAGAGCTCGTTGGTAGTCGCGATGTAGGGCAGGTCCTCGTCGCTGCAGAAGTCGGGCATCGACGAGTTCTTCTTCTTCTCCTCGATTACGGCTGGTTCGGTCATCGACCCGAAGTGGTTCGCCTGGAGCCCCGCGTTCTCGAGCTGGTCAATATTGTCCGTCACGGACTTGGCCACTCGCGTGCGCGCCCGGGGTCCTTGCCGTCCTTGACCTGGGCGATGTACCTGGTCAGCAGCGTGGTGGCGGTCTGCCGCCGTGCGGCCTGGGGGCCGCGTGGGTGAGGCCTGCCGGGGGAAGCCCTCATGGTCTTGGTGGCCGTCCTGTGCCCCTCCACGCGCCCCATGTACTTAGGGCGCTCCTCGGCGGGGATCTGGTGCGTCTCGAGGATGGCGAGCTCCACCGTGGCGACCCACTGGGCGCAGGGCGCGTTGACAACCGTGGCGTCCTCGCTGGAGTCGGCGGTGGACCCGGTGGCCGCGCCCGCGCCGAGCCCCGACACGTGCGCCGTCGAACTTGGGGTAGGCCTTCGCAATGTTGGAGGCCGCCTCCCAGTCCCCAGCCCCCAGCGGGCACCGTGAACGGGGTGTTGTTCGCTGGGGAGACCTTTTCGATCTCGGTGTGGATCACGTCGAATTCTCCATGTACGTGTTCGGGAAGCCTGCCCCCGCGCTGTTGCAATGCTATCGCCCTGGCCATGGGCCTTGCTGTCAGGGCCTGCTCCGCTTAGGCCGCGAGCGAACTGGTTGGGCGCGCGGCGCCTCAGGCACTTGTGCTGCCAGGACTGGGCGACCCCGAACGTGACCTCGATGCCGCAGTGGGTCTTCCAGGTTACTTGGTAGACGGGCTGCAGCTTGAGGGCCTCCGCGACGTCGCTGCAAGCGATGCCGTTGTCGTAGGTGGAGCCCTTGCCCTTGTCGCACGTGACGGTGCAGCCCGCAGGCGCAATGATGGACGCATTCCACCGCCCTAACCACCGCTTGTCGTCCCTCCACGGTGGCCCGTAGTTCCAGTCCACCAGGGCCAGCCAATGGTCCTGCGCCATGTCCAGGAACGTGGTGAGGCTAACGAAGGTATCACGGTTGGCCCCCTGATCGCGGAGCCTTGGCCTGAGGTGTGCTGCGATGACGACCTGGATGCCGTTCGCGGTGTGCAGCGCGTACGGCGAGAAACCGACGAAGGGCTGCCTCTTGTGTTGGCCGACGTAGTAGCTGCGGTGCGCCTCGAAGGGCGCGGCTGCGATTTCCCGTCAGGCCAGGGGCCACCCACTCGCCTCCATAGGTGCCTTGCTGCGACTTGTGGGTGGCGATCGCAGGCGTCGCTGCGACCTTCCACCCATCCGCTGCCAGCGGGCTCTTCACCGTGTCGAGGTTGCGCGCCGACGCGTGCGTCTCCGCCGGCGCGGCGATGTGGTGGCGCCTGCCCTCGTCCCTCACGAAGGCAGTAGCTTGTGGCCCCCGATCGGTGACGCTCCCGAAGAAGATGGTGGGCTTCACCTCCTCCTTGGCGTGGGGCTTGCTAAAGCCGCCCTGGGCGAGGCCCAGAGAAGTGCCTGCACCGGGGGCCTTCGCGCCGCTGCCGCCACCATCCTGAGCTTCTGTGCGTGCCTGCTGAAGCGCCTCAATGGCCGCGCGGACGAGCTCGGCTGCGGTCTGCTTGTCCGCCTCGGGCTCGTCTGTCGCCATGGGCGCGGGGCCGCTGCTGCCTGTGTCGCGGCCCGTGGGCACGGTGGTGACGGGGTCCGCAGGTGGGGTGGGTGGGCCTGCTCCATCGTCGGCAGCGGCCGTGTCCTGTCCGCCATCAGACCCTGCCGATGCTTCGCCACCTCTGACACCTGGACCCATCTTGCGCTTGCGCTTGTTGGGGGTGGCCTCCGTCTCCTTCGCGTGGCGCAGGATCTCCCGAACCCGCTCCTGCCCTTCGTTGAGCGCCTTAACACGGTAGTCGAGGTCCGCCTTCCACTCATCCATTTGCTCACGGGTCTCCTCATCGTAGACCGAGCCACGGGGAGGGGGGTCGTCGGCGGTGAAGGCCTCGTGCGCCTGCGGGACCCCTCTGGAGACGCAGAGCTTGACCTTGACTTCCTCCTGCTCCTTGGCGCAGTCAACCTGCGCTTTGACCAGGTCGAGCGCCGCCTGCTCTTGCTGCTGCTCCTCGAGCGCGGCGAGCCAGCCCTTGGCGTCCGCGACGTCCTCCACGAGCTTGTCGAGGCGAGCCTCGCGGTTGCCGAGGATGGCCAGCGCGGGCTGCGGCGCGGGCTCCTCCGACGTGGTGGCGGCTGGAGGAGCGGGCTTGAGCGATGCCTGCAGAGGAGCGACCAGCTGCTTCTTGGTACACCTTAGGCGATGCTTAAGAAAACCTAAGTTTTCGTCCAGAGTCTCGATTATTCTTAATTTTCCAATGTGAATCCCAAGATTTTGATAGAAGTTCTGGGTTTTATTCAATTTCTGAGACTGTGAATTTCTTAACCCATGATTTCTTGAGCATTTCGCAGGGTGTACCAATATCACCGTCAGGTTGGCCAGCGCGTCGAGCACCTGGTCCGTCGTGAGGGGCTTCTGCTGCTCCTGCTTCTGCTGCCACCGAGGGGTTGACGCGTCTGCCCAAGCACCAGCAGGCTGTCGATGCTCCCCTGGCGTCGGAGCAAGGGGCTTGCCACAGTGGAAGCAGTCCGATTTCCCTTCCACGTCCAGCGGTAGCGACGCTGCTTGCAATCCGTGTGCCACTTCCCTGTGGGACTGTGGCCACCCTTTGTGGCCACGCCCTTTGTCGCCGCCCTTGTCCCCCTTGCCAGCTGCCGCTGCCGAGCGTCGCGCGCCCTTGCCGCCGTTGGATTGACTTCCTCGCCACAGCGAGGACAAGTGGAAATGAAAGTGGGCGGCAGCTCGCCCCTGAGGTTGATGCAATAACACGGAATCGCTGGGTGGGGGCCGACCCCGCTGAGGCAGTGATGTGTGCGCCATTTGGCCTTGAGCCAAAATGGCTACGGAAGGAGGAGGCGGAGGAGGAGGAGGAGGAGGAGGAGGAGGAGGAGGAGGAGGAGGAGGAGGAAGAGGAGGAGGAGGAGGAACAGGAGGAGGAGGAGGATGAGGAGGAAAATGAGGAGAAGGAGGCGAAGGAGGAGGAGGGTCTGGCGGCTTCCAGGAAGAGCGTCTCGGCCGCGAACGAGTTGGCGGCGCTGCTTGGGTTGGAGGCGCGGGCCCCGCAGGGCGGCGCCGGGCCGTCGTCGTCTTCGTCGTCGTCGCCGCCGCCGCCGTCGCCATCGTCGTCGTCGTCGTCGTCGTCGTCGTCGTCGTCGTAAAACCTTCCTGGAGGGGGACCCTGAGGGGCTCGTGGGATTCTACGGATGGGCCCTCTTCGTTCTCCTCCCCATCCCCCCTTTATCCTGCTTTCCCAACCACGGCTTGAACTGTATTCTCGAACCTCTACCGTCGATCTTTCTCATCTTCCCCCCATCGCGTCATCGTCGGCGTGGTCGTGGTCGCCGCCGCCGCCACCACCGTCGTCGTCGTCGTCGTCGTCGTCGTCGTCGCGTCGTCGTGGTGGGAGGGGGGAATGGGGGATGGGAGGGGGAGTGGAGGGTGGGCGTCATATCGAGCGGGAGGAAGGGGGGGTGGGTGGAGGAGGAGGAGGAGGAAGAGGAGGAGGAGGAATAGGAGGAGGAGGACGAGTAGGAGGAGGGGGAGGGGGAGGAGGAGGAGGGGGAGGATGAGGAGGAGGATGAGGAGGAGGAGGGGGAGAAGAGGAGGAGGAGGGGCGGAGGAGGAGGAGGAGGAGGAGGAGGAGGAGGAGGAGGAAGAGGAGGAGGAGGAGGAGGAGGAGGAGGAGGAGGAGGAGGCATACAGATCGCCCGGGCAAGGCCTACCCTTTGGTCTACCCGAAGGCCTACCCTAGGCCTGCCCTTGGGCCTACCCCTAGGCCTACCGTAGGCCTACCATAGGGCCTACCTCTAGGGTTACCCTAGGCCTACCCCTCGGGCTTACCCCTAGGCCTACCCTCGACCTACCCCAGGGCTTACCCCTGGGCCTATTCCTAGGCCTACCCCTATGGTTTGTCCCAGGCCTACCCCCAGGGCTACCCAACGTCTACTCCAGGACCTACCCTGCGCCTGCCCCGGGGCCTAGCCTTCGAGCTACCCTAGGCCTTGCCCTTAGGGCTACTCCAGGGCTGCCCTAGGCCTTGCCCCTAGCCCGAGGGATTCCCCAGGGCCTACTCCTAGCCCGACCTATGCCCGACCCCACTCTCCGATCCGACCCCCTCGTCAGGGTCCTTCCGATCCGGCGTCGCCGTCCTCCGTTTCGCATTGATCCCGACCCGACCCGCCCGATCCGACCCGTCCCTCAGGGTTCGCCCCGTTCGACCCGACCCGACCCGACCCGCCCAATAGGGCCCGCCCGACCCGACCCGACCCGCCCGACCCGACCCGCCAGGTAGGGGCGCCCTCGACCCGACCCTCCCGACTCGCGCCCGATGCGACCGACCCGACCCGGCCGACCCGACCCGCCCGTCAGAGCCCGCCCGGCCGGGCCCGCCCGACCCGACCCGCCCGCTGTTGGGGCCGGCCCCCGCCCGACCCGACCCGACCCGTCCGATCCGACCCGCCCGTCGGGGCCATCCCGACCCGACCCGACCCGCTAGACCCGACCCGCCCGTCAGGGCCCGCCCGATGACCCGACCCGACCCGCCCGTTAGGGCCCTCCCGACCTGAGCCGAATCGGCCCGATGCGCTCGCCCGACCCGACTCGACCTGCCCGACCCGACCCGTTCGTCAGCCAGCCCGACCCGCCCGCCCGACCCGCCCGTCAGACCTGACGCGCCTGTTAGCATCGAATTCGTGAGGGACTGAGTGAGTGATCCGTGAGTGGATCATCGTGGAATGCCGATGGTCAGAAGCTCTGATGCCTCTTTTGGGTTGTGGACTGGCTGGAATGCCTCTCCGTGTGGACCCCGTCGGCCCGCCCTCTCTTCTCCGCCCACCCTCGCAGCCTCCCCTCTTCGGCTGTGCGCTGGGTCACGAACTGGATGCACAATTTCGACTCCGAGAGCAGGGTTAAGTCGGGCCTGTCCCTCTACAGGAGGAATATTCAGAAATAGTCAAAAATAGTCTGGGGACCATTTTCTGACTATTTTTGTCCATTTTGGATTATTTTTTGACTATTTTTTATTTTTCCTCCAAAATCCCCCCTGTAGGGGGACAGGCCCGACTTAAGAGCAGGGCAGATGGGACACGAAGCGCTGTGCTTTCACCAGCCCAGGCAACCAGCCAGTACTCCGAGCAGCGTCCAGCCGTGGCGGGGGCCCCACGTCAGGCCCTGGGGGAGGACCACACGCAACGTCTCCACAGAGGCCGGGGGTAGCACATGTCTCCGTGGTCAAGACCGCGCGTCTGGGGAAGAGGGGAAAAAGTGGAAATGAGATCGGAAAGGAGGGGGAGGAGGGAGGGAAGGCTCTATGGCGGGGGGGATTCTAGAGAGGCGGGTTTTTTACAAATGGGGGGTCTACAGGGGGGCTTACTGAGAGTGGGGGTCCATAGATGGGGAGGAGGAGGAGGAGGAGGAGGAGGAGGAGGAGGAGGAGGAGGAGGAGGAGGAGGAGGAAGGAGGAGGAGGAGGAAGAGGAGGAGGAGTCGGAGGAGGAGGAGGAGGAGAGAGGAGGAGGAGGAGGAGGAGGAGGAGGAGGAGGAGGAGTCGGAGGAGTCGAGTCGGAGTCGGAGTCGGAGTCGGAGTCGAGTCGGAGGAGGAGGAGGAGGAGGAGGAGGAGGAGGAGGAGGAGGAGGGGAGGAGGAGCAGGAGGAGGAGGAGGAGGAGGAGGAGGAGGAGGAGGAGGAGGAGGAGGAGGAGGAGGTGGAGGAGGAGGAGGAGGAGGAGGAGGAGCGCGAGGAAACGAAGAAGGCGCCGCCCGCCGCCGTCGCCGAGCGCCGTCGCCCAGCCAGGGCCCCTTTGCGACGCCAGCGGCGGCGCCGGCGCCGGCGGCGCCGGCTCCTGCGGCAGCCCAGGAGGCCAGCCCCCCGACGAGGAGGGAGGGGGGCGCGAGGGGGGGAGAGCAAATATTTCGGGTCTAGAGTGACAGTTCAGGGTCGGAGTAGAAAGCAGTTCAAATCAGATGGGTAATTTTATCGTCCGGCGCCACCGGCTCATGGATAGAAGGATCTTTGCTTTGGTAGCGGAGCGTCGGGCCCCGCGCGCTCGCCGAGAACCACGCTCCTCTGCACGGCGCGCCCCTGGACGCTACAGAGGTTCAGCACCTGGGCCCAGAGGTTCAGCGCGAGGACCCAGAGTACCAGCTCGTGGACTCAGAGGTCGGATTCAGCTTCATCATCTGCTTCATTCATCTTGGCTTAGCACTGAGTCAGCAGAGTAAACAGCTTAATCGTCCGCATTCATCTGTTTCAACTCAGTGTTAGCAGAATAGGCAACTTAATCATCTGACGGCAACTGGTGTACCAATCAATTAACGGACAAGCACACCTGGTTAAGTACACGATTATCCGCATTACCCGACGACGAGAAAAATTGCTATTCCATGTGGCGGTACACTATCGTTGGAAGAGTCTTCGCGGAACGCTCCACCTAGAGGGAAGCCTGGCACGCAGCGCTACCAACTTCGAGAGTATCTCCAGAACCTCTCGATCTGGTGGCGCACGAATGACGATCTTGACGAGTTAGTGGCGGCCTTGCCTGTTCTGAGTAGACTCCAAAGAGGCGTTTGCAAGCAGGCACTGCGCTTCGCCGTGGAGCGCGACGGCCTGATCTACGTGGTCGAGAACGCGTTCGCCCTCCCAGCCATCCCAGCAAATCCTGGAGCATGGCCTACATGAGCGGGACAACGTGACCACTCGTCTCGACAAGTTCATCGCGTTTCGCAGAGGCAGCCGAGACTAGCACAATGAGCCGCGGCTTTCAAGATGGTGTGCGACGAAGCTTCAGAGATTGCTGGATTGAAGATCGACGCCATCGAGGTGGTCTCCTGTACGCCTATCATACTGCGAGCTGCCCCAGATGAAGGTTTGAAGACATCAGCAGGCTGACCGTAGGCGGCGACTTCAACAAGTGTAGCGATACCAAATCTTTGCTCAACAGGATGGCAAAAGTGGGCAAAACCAACAGTCACGCCTACGATTTTGGCGGCTTCTACTGTGACGGCTCTTGGTGGGACGACGAGTGGTGCGATGACGACTGGGGCGAGTGCGACACCCTCTGGGTCGATGACGATTGGAATGGGCCCGATTTGGAACAGTTCAGATTGGAGTGGACAATATTGGGGCCAGCACGGCGACCGCGAAGATGATCATCCAGTCGACGGCGACGACGGCACCAACAAAGGCAACAAAGGCGGCAAAGGATGTGGCCAGAGTGAAGGACGAGGTTGTTCAAAGTCGGTTCGGAGTGGCACGGTGCTCCCGAGTGTCCAGCCAACCAGGGCCATGATGATGGCGAGGCCAGCGACGAGAAGAGCGAGACGGAGATGACGATACGTAACGACGAGGAGGGAGGAGGAGGAGGAGGAGGAGGAGGAGGAGGAGGAGGAGGAGGAGGAGGAGGAGGAGGAGGAGGAGGAGGAGGAGGAGGAGGAGGAGGAGGAGGAGGAGGAGGAGGAGAGGAGGAGGGAGGAGGAGGGAGGAGGAGGAGAGGAGGGAGGAGGGAGGAGGAGGAGGAGGAGGAGGAGGAGGAGGAGGAGGAGGAGGAGGAGGAAGGAACATAAGGAAAAGGAGGAGGAGGAAAAGGAGAGGGTGGAGGGAGAGGGACCCCCGCCATCTCTGTATACATTCAATGCAAACTGTTCGCGGACGTTCACCTTGTAGTTATTCGCAGGCGTGTGGTGTGTGCTCTCACGGTTCCTTGTTTGCGGTTAGTCGAATGTGGAAGGGAGGTTTTACCATTCCGGAGCAGTGATAAAGTATTTTCCATTAAGGAGCAGTGGTGAACCACTTCCCGAATTTTAAGAAGGGGGTCGGGAAACCGAACTCGACAACCACTCTACGCCCTGAAGGGCAAACGGGAATCGCCCTCGATTTGTTCGTATCGTGCCCCTCGCCCTCGCCCCCCCCCACCCGCGCCCTCGCCGCCCCACTCACCCTCGCCCTCGCCCTCGCCTTACTACTACCCCTCGACCGCACCTTCCCTCTCGCCGTCGTGGCCGTCGCCGCCGACGCCGCCGTCGCCGTCGTCGTCGTCGTCGTCGTCGTCGTCGTCGTCGTGGTTGTCGTCGTTGTCGTGGTTGTCGTCGTCGTCGTCGTCGTCGTCGTCGTCGTCGTCCGTGCAGGCGCCCGCGGCCCCGCATGGCGCCGCCAACGACGGCGCGGCGCCCCCGCTGAGCAGCGGAGGTTCGGCCAGCCAGGCGGCCGGCTCAGGGCAGAGCGTGGCGGCGTGGGGGTGGGGAGGGCAGGGCTGGCCGCTGCTCGGCCGGTTCGGTCGGAGGAGCAGCCACCCCCAGTCGCTGACTCCTCGCCTATCTTCGGGGAGCGAAGCATGACATAGCCATAACATTTCGGAGGTCCGCGCTGTTTTTTTCGGCTCGGCGCTCGATCCCCCTGGCAGCGCCTCCGGCGCCGCCCCTGGCGCGGTCCGCGCGCCGGGGAGGGTGGTCCAGCGCCGATTCAAAGAATTTGCACGGACCTCCGAACGTTAATCTCTGTGTCATCGCGTGCTGCCTGCCCCCATTCGCTCATGGCTCGCCTATTAGGGCCTGGATCTCGGTGGATGTTCAGAGCGCTGGGGGCGGTTCGCGGCCAACCAGAGCAGGAAGCAACTGGCAGCCCCAACCAGACAAACAGACGGAAGTACAGAACGGAACCGAACCGCAAACGGCGCGGACGATAATCTGCCGACCCTGTCGGCGTGCGTGAGGGGTCTGTCTGGTCCCGTCGACGGGACGCCTTTTCTGTTCATCCCGCCCCGTCGGGAGGGAGAGAGCACTCTCCCGCCGTCGGGGGAAGAAGTCCATGGATCGAGGGAAATCGACCCACGTCGTAGTCACGTCAAAGGGAGGAAGCCCCTTCCCTTTGTCCCTTCCCCGGGGGGGGTGGGGTGGGGTCCCGGGGTGGGTGTGGGTGTGGGGTGGGGGGTCAGATTCGCATCGCCTCTGAGGGTCCTGCTCTCCCACGCCGGTCCTTCTCTGGCACGCCGGTCCTCCTCGGGTCCTTTTCCCCAGGTGTGGAGGAGTCCCAGGGGGGGGAAGGGGAGTCAGATACGCATCCGTCCCTGGGGTTCCTCCTCCCCCTCCCCTCCCCTCTCCCACGCTGGTCCTCCTCCGGTCCTCATCTCCAGGGGGGTGTCCCAGGGGGGAGTCCTTTTCCTCCTCCTCCTCCTCCTCCTCTTTATCTCCGCCTCCGCCTCCTCCTCCTCCTCATCCTCCTCCTCCTCCTCCTCCTCCTCCTCCTCCTCCTCTTCCCCCTCCTGGTCGTCGTCGATGTCTCTCAGGGTCGGCGGCTCCGGCCGTCAGGCCTTCGCAATCTCAGAACGAGCAATAGATACATCCACAAGCGAGGCAAAAACGCCGCTCTTGAAGCCGGGGGGAAATACACCCAGCGCTTTTTGCATCATCAAAGGTCTGGATGTCCCACATCTACAGTCGGGGCGTTGACCTACGGAACCCTAAATAAGGCACGAGGCCCCTTTTTTTCCATAAGTTAAACTTCGATTTCCGATCGAAAACATAAGGAGAACCTGAGGCAAGCTGTGAAACACTTAAGGAACGCGGAGCCCCTTCCCAACCAGAAGGGTTCCTTCTTCAGGGTCCCGACTGTAAGGCTTGGATGTCCCACACCGCCCAGGATCGTTTGGTTTCGCTGTCGAGAGCCCGTCGGCAGCCCCTGGGCGATGCATCGCCGATTCCAAGGCAATGCCTTTCCCCCGTGGACCCGGTTCCCCTTGCCGCTCCCCCTCAGTTCTGCTGCTTCGCAGTCGGCGGCACTCGGTCGGTTCGGTTCGATCGGTTGCTGCGCCGCTGTGTCCTTTTGGGCTCTGATCCACGCCCCCGAAAGATGATGATGATGATGATGATGATGATGATGATGATGATGATGATGATGATGATGATGATGATGATGATGATGATGATGATGATGATGATGATGATGATGATGATGATGATGATGATGATGATGATGATGATGATGATGATGATGTGATGATGATGATGATGATGAGGAGGAGGAGGAGGAGGAGGAGGAGGAGGAGGAGGAGGAGGAGGAGGAGGAGGAGGAGGAGGAGGAGGAGGAGGAGGAGGAGGAGGAGGAGGAGGAGGAGGAGGAGGAGGAGGAGGAGGAGGACTGCTTTCGGTTCGTCGGTTTCGGTCGGCGTCGGTTTCGCTATCGGCTCGGGCGGTGTTCGACTTGGTGTCGCCGTCGACGTCCTATGCCGGAGCGCCGAGGAAGGGCGTCGGAGGCGGGGCAGGGTTGGGTTGGAGAGGGGGGAGGTCGAGGATCGAGGATCTAGTTTTTTCTTTTGCTGTTCCCAGCCCTCCTGCGTTGGGTTCTCGTTCTCAATCGAGTGCTGCGGCCGCGTCCTTTCTCCCGCCTCCCTCCTCCCTTCTCTCTTCCCTCTTTCTCTCCTCTCTCCTCTTCTCTTCCTTCCTCTTTTCTTCTCCTGTCGTTCACCCGGCTTGCCCTCGCCTTCCTTGGGGGGCTGCGATCTGCGAAACTGTCGCCACTTTCGAGAGCTGCGGAGAGGTCCAGCGGAGTGCCACGCTATGCAGACCTAAGTTTAGACCTCGCCCATCCCTGGTGGGCTGCGATCTTCGAAACTGTCGCCGCTTTGGAGGGCTGCTGGTGGTTCCAGCGGGGTGGCCCGCTACGCAGACCTACGTAATTTAGACCTCTCCATCACTGGACGGCCTGGGATCTGCGAAACTGTCCAGGCTGCAAGGAGGCCCCGAAGAGTGATGTCCTACGCAGACTCAGATCAGACCGCGCCATCTCTGGGTGGCCGCGATGTGTGAAACTGTCCCCACTTTCGATGGCTGCTGGTGGGCCCCGCGGAGTGACACGCTGCGCAAACCTAAGTTAGACCTCGCCATCCCGGGGGCTGCGATCTGCGAGAGTGTCGCCACTTTTGCAAGGCTGCTGGAGGGTGCCGCAGGGTGACGTCCTACGTAGACTCATATTCGACCTCGCCATCCCTGGGGGCTGCGTCTTGCGAATTTGTCGCCACTTTCGAGGGCTTCTGAGCGGTCCGACGGAGTGACGCGCTCCGCAAACTCAAACTCGTCCTCACCATCCCTGGGGGGCTGCGAACTGCGAACTAGTCGCCACTTCCGTGGACTGCTCGAGGGTCCTTCCCACGCAGATTCAGATTCGTTATGGTTTTATTTCCCACGGGCCGCCCGAAGACCTGGCGGCACGCTTGCGGGCTTTTAGCTCCCGCGCTGCGGGTTGCCAGAATGAAGCGTTGAACTTGGCGGGCGAGCTTGGCCTCGCTCGCTTCTTGCACTGGCTATGAGCAGCTGATCCTTTGGAGCGCCAGAGCGACCTGGCGCGGGCCGCGCTGCTTGTCCAGCGTGCTATCGGAAAATGCTCGACGCCCTCCTTCCTCATCCTGCCTCTTTTGTTGTGGACCTCTTCCTCCTTCGTCTCACCGCTGCTGTCGCGTTGACGCGTCGGCCCGTCTTCCGTCGTTCACTCCTCGTTCCCACCCTCATTTCTTCTTCGTGTCTGGGGCCTCAGTCCTCGTCCTTCTGTTGTTGTCCGGTGAGTCGCTCCCCCCCGAAAAGGTGCGCCATCGATTGTCTGATGGCAACCACTGGCGCACCTCGCATTGCCATCATAGATTTCATTCTGGACCAACTCTTCTTATTGCTTGCTGCAGATGGGTTGGGTACGTCGCAGGACTTTTTCCCCCAATCCTCCCGCGTTGGGTTTTCGTTTTGAATAGAACACTGTGCTCGCGACCTCCTCCTCCTCCCGCCCCCCTCCTCTCCCCTCCTACCTACCTGCTGCCATGCCTCGTGCTTCGCCGTCCTGCCTCGCCGTTTTGCCTGGGGGCTCCATGGGGGGTCGCGATCTGCGAAGCTGTCGCCACTTTGGGGGCTGCTGGGGGTTCCAGCTGGGTGACGCGCTGCGCAAATTCAGCTTCGACTTTGTCATCCTACGAACAAAGACGCTGTCGACACTGTCGACGTTGTCGACGCCGTCGACACTGTCGACGTTGTCGACGCTGTCGAACTAAGACGTTGTCGACACTTTCGAGGTCTGCTGGGAGTCTAGCAGAGTGACGCGCTATGCATTTTCAGGTTCGACCTCTCCATGTTTGGTGGGCTGCGGCTTGCGAAGATGTCGAGGGCTGTTGGTCGGTCCAACGGAGTGACGCGTTGCGCGGGCCCAAAAGAGACTTCACCATTCCTGGGTCGCTGCGATTTCGGAAGGGTCGCCATCTTTGAGGCCAGCTGGACGGTCCAGCGGAGTGATGCGGTGCGCGAGCCCACATGAGACTTCGGCATCCCGGGGGGTGGGTGCGAATTACGAAACCGTCGCCATTTTCGAGGGTTGCTGGAGGGTCCAGCGGGGCGACGCGCTACGCAGGTTCAGATTCGACCTCGCCATCCCTGGGGGGCTGCGAACTGCGAGCGGGTCCCCACTTTCGAGGGTTGCTGGGGGTTCCAGCGGAGTGGCGCGCTACGCGGACCCAAATGAGACCAGAGGCTGGTGGGGGTTCAAGCGTAGTGAGGTCCCACGCAAATCCAGATTCGACCTCGCCATTCCTGGTTAGCTGAGGACTGCCAAACTGTAGCCACTTTCGAGGGCAGCTGGACGGTCCAGCGGAGTGATGCGCTACGTATTCTCAAACTAGACCTCGCCATGCGTGGGGGGCTGCCATCTGCGAACTTGTCGTCGTTTTCAAGGGCTTCTGGGCGGCCCAGCGGAGTGACGCGCTGCGCGGACCCAAGTGAGATCTCACCATACCTGGGTCGCTGCGAATTGCGAAATCGTCGCCACTTCCGATGTCTGCTGGACGGTCCAGCGGGGTGACGCGGTGTGCGGACCCAAATGGGACCACACCATCCCATTTGGGGTTGCGAGCTGCGAAACTGTCGTCACTTTCGGGGGCTGCTGGAGGGTCCATCGGGGTGTCGCGCTACGCAGGCTCAGATTGGACCTCGCCATCCCTAACTGCGAATTAGTCCCCACTTTCGAGGGCTGTTGGGGGGAGGGGGGTCCAGTTTGGTGACGCGCTACGCAGATTCAAATTGGACCTCATCATCCCTGGGGGTGGGTTTGTGGGGCTGCGAACTGCGAAGCTGTCGCCGCCATTTTTGAAGGCCGTTAGGGGTCCAGCGCCTTGACGTCCCACGCAAATCCAGATTCGTCCTCGTCATCCATGGGGGGAGGGGGCTGCGAACTGCGAATTTGTCGCCGCTTTCGGGGGCTGCTTGGGGGGTCCAACGTAGTGACGCGCCTCGCAGACCCACAGTCGCCTTGAGTTCTTCCCCGCGTGCCGCCCGATGGCCTGGACTTCAACACCGCGGATCAACGTGACTGTGGCGCCCTGACATTCCGACATCGTGCCAAGACGCCATGCTTGGGACGTTAGCCATGCGAGTCCTTGAAACAGTTGCGAACCCTGAAGACGAATGTGCGCGGCGGTGTGCGCGGCGCGAAGGCGAGAGCCACATGTTGAAAGCTACCCGCCCTCAACCCCTGAAGCTCTTGCAACCTTTACGACGAGTGCGCGCGGCGCTAAAGGCGGGAGTCACACTGTCAAAACGGACCCCCCTTCCGTGAAGCTCCCTGGCAACTTTTTATTAGATGAGTGCGCGCGGCGCTGAGGCGGGAGTCACACCTTGAAGGCGGACCGCCCTCCATCCGTTGTGAAGCTCTGGCGAATTTCAATATTCAGATCGTACGTTGGGAGGAAGTCTCCGGCGACATTTTTTTGACTGACCTGCGGGGCGAGAGCGAACCTCTTCCGCTGAAGGCTAAGCGGGACGCGCACAGCTTTAATTAGCAGAGAAAGGGCGGAAGAAGGCGGGGCCTCACGCGGCCGGGAGAGGGCGAAAAGTCTCCGGCGACATGAGGAGGATGACTTGGACATCCAAGACCCATCAATGATGTCGGAGTAAAACCCTCCCGCCAACCCTATTCACAAGCACCTACAAGGATTAATTTCCACTGAGGGAAGTGCCTCGTTGGGAGACAACCGTTTGAAGATCCTGAGGCGTGCTCAAACACCATTTTGGGACTCCAACGCCACGATTCAACTTGGCTGTTGCGTCTTGGTGATCCTGAATCGTACCAGAGGACCATTCCTGCGACTTCAACACCGCGAATCTACATAACTTTTGCCCGGGAATCTCAGGCGAATCGCAGGCAGGCGAAACGCCCGGCCCGCCCTTATCGACAGGCGTCGAGGTGCGACAGGGAGGTGGAGGGGGAGGAGGAGCGGGATGGCCGCGCTCGACGAACCCTCGGGCCGAGAGAGAGAGAGAGAGAGATATGGAGAGAGAGAGGGAGGAGGAGGAGGAGGAGGAGGAGGAGTAGGGAGGAGGAAGGCGAGGAGGGAGGAGGATCGACACTGTCTGCCAGGCCGAGCACCCTCCTCTGTCCCCTCCCCCCCGTGTGCCCCCCGCCGAGGAGCCGGCCGCAGCCGAGGAGGCCGCGGCCGCCCCGGCGGCCGACGGCGCTGCCCCAGCCGCGGGGGCGTCGGCCGCTGCCGCGCGGGAGCCGGAGGGGGAGGAGCGGCCCGAAGGCGCCCGAGCGAGGGGGGGGGTGGAAGGGATACGCAGGAGGGGAGCAAAAACACACAGACACAATGAATCGTCGATTCCTAAAGGAAGTATTGGAAGAGATGGGACTTGAACCCAGAAAATATATGAAAATATGGGGCATCCTGTTATTAGTGTCTATTTATTAATCGCTTCGCTCATTCCGCCGGCCCTGGAGCGCTCTTTTGGGCCTCTTTGGGGCCTGTTGGGGGCCTCTTGGGGGCCTCTTGGTGCTCCTTGGCGGCGTCTTGGGGGCCCCTAGGGCCTCTTCGGGGGCTCGTGGGGGCCTCTGGGGGCGGGAGGGGGAGGTATTAATCCTTGTCCTCAGCCGCCTCTTCCGTCTCCGTCTCTTGTATCGTCGTCCTCGATGGACCGGCTCATAGTTCGCATTTTGGAACCTTGTTGGCGCGCCCCGGGTCGACCGAGAGTCAAACGGGAGTGGGCCAGGACGTAGCTGAAATATCCAGTTGCCTTTGGCGTATCCGGCCAGGTTGGCCTCTGTAGGACCTCTGGGATGCTAATTTGAAGGTTCGACCGAGAGTCGGACGGGAGTTGGCCAGGACGTAGCTGAAATATGCAGTTGTCCTCGGCGTATCCTGCCAAATTGGCCTCCGCAGGAGCTCTGGGATGCATCTTCGAAGCTTGGACCGAGACTCACGGGAGTGGGCCGGGACGTAGCTGAAATATCCAGTTTCCTTCGGCGTATCCCGCCAGGTTGGCCTCTGTAGGACCTCTGGGATGCAGGTTTGAAGCTTCGACCGAAAGTCGGACGGGAGTGGGCCGGGACGTAGCTGAAATATGCAGGTCGGACGGCAGTGGGCCAGGACGTAGCTGAAATATGCAGTTGTCTTCGGCGTATCCATCTAGGTTGGCCTCTGTAGGACCTCTGGGATGCAGGTTTGAAGCTTCAAGAAGTGTCCAGGAGGTACTTTCTTCGGAACCTCTGGGAGCCTTTTGGGGCCCTCTGGAGGCCTCTTGGAACAAGTGTTCTAGTTCCTTGGAGCGTCTTGTGGCGTCTGTGGGGCTTCTTGGAAGCCTCCTGGGGGCCTCTTTTGGGCCTTTGGTGGCCTCTTGAGGGCCTCTTGGAGGCCTTTGGCGGCGTCTTGGGTGCCTCTGGGGCCTGTTTGGGGGCTCTTGGGGAGCTCTTGGGGCGGGAGGCGGAGGTAGTTGATGGAGGCTTCTCCCTCCGAGGCCACGATCCTCGTGAGGGGTGTCGAAAAGTGGCCCTCCCCTGGAGTGCTGGGGGGACCTGACCGGGACCTGACCGGGACCTAGCCGGGGTACTTCTCGTCCAGGGGCCCCCAGGGGCTGCCCCGCGCGCGCGAGCTAGAAATATTGTTAACCAGTTATCGGAGATCTTAACACGCCTCTGGCCCGTTGGGCCGGCGAATTTGTGTCCCAGGGCCCCTTCAGATACGCAGGATGGGGTATTCATCAAGGGCGAGGGCGTACGGGGTGCCATCCCACCTCCCCCTCCTCTCTCCTCCGCAGCCTCCTCCTCCTCCTCTCAGGCGCGCCCACGCGCCCGCGACCCCGCGCGCGCGCGAGGGACGAACCATTTCTCTCGTTCGCATCGTGCTCTTGGCCGCCCTCCTCCTCCTCCGCCTCCCCCTTCCACCCGTTCCGACAGCACGTGCTCTCCCTCCCCCCGCGCGGATCCAAGCGGGGGGTGCGAGTACGTATAGACCCATCCGGAGGTGGGACGGACACCAGCAGCAGTTGCTTCGTTTTCGCCAGGGTTCGCCGTCGGAGGAGGGAGGAGGGAGGGAGGGACAGGAGGAGGGGCAGGACTACGACGACGACCATGATGATGCTGATGATGATGGTGATGATGATGATGATGATGATGATGATGAGGATGAGGATGACGAGGACGATGATGATGCTGATGACGGTGATGATTATGAAGAAGATGAATATACATATTCAGATGAAGATGAATGTGATGATTATGTTGATTATGAGGATGATGATGACGATGAGGATGATGATGACAACCGCGACGATGATGATTACGATGATGATGATGATGATGATGATGATGATGATGATGATGATGATGGTGGTGACGATGACGATTACGACGCTGCTACTGCTGCTGCTAACGCCGACGATTATGATGCTGCTCATGATGATGATGACGCTAGTGATGATGATGATGACGATGACGATGACGATCATGATGATGATGATGATGATGATGATGATGATGATGATGAGGATGATGAAAGTGACGACGATTATGATGAGGAAGACGACTAATAAGAAGAAAAAGATGAGGATGCTATTGATGATGATGGTGATGCTGGTGGTGGTGATGATGGTGATGACGATGACTACGACGACGACGATGATCATGATGATGGTGGTGGTGATGATGATTTTGATGATGCTGATGACGTTGATGCTGCTGCTGGTGGTGATGATGCTGAGGATGAATAGTTTGATGATGCTGACGATGCTGATGCTGCTCATGATGATACTGATGATGACGATACTGATGATGACGATGCTGAGGATGATGATGCTGATGATAATGACGACGAATTGGCGATGCTGTCGATGCTCATAGTGGTGGTGATGATGCTGATGATGAGCCGGGCCATGAGTACCGATCATGATGATGATGATGCCCCTTCTCACCTTTGCCTAATTATGATGGATGACGGTGAGTGTCGACATGATCCGATGATGATGCTGCTGATGACTCTGATGATGATGATGATGATGATGATGGTGATGGTGATGGTGATGGTGATGATGTTGTTGATACTGATGATGTTGATGGCGCGGATGATGTCGACGATGCTGATGGTGGTGATGACGAGGCTGTTGTTGTTTTTGTTGTTGTTGCTGCCGTTGTTGCTGTTGTTCCTGTTGTTGGTGCTGTTGTGGTGGTGGTTGTTGTCGCGTTGGTGGTTGTTGTGGTTGTTGTGTTTGTTGTTGCTGCTGTTGTTGTTGCTGTTGTTTCTGTTGTTTATGCTTCTGCTGTTGTTGTTGTTGTTGTTGTTGTTGTTGGTGTTGTTGTTGTTGTTGTTGTTGTTGTTGTTGTTGTTGTTGTGGGCGTTGTCTTTGTTATTGTTTGTTGTTGTTGGTTTTGTTGTCGTTATTGTGGTTCTTGGTCTTGGTGTTGGTGTTAGTGATGGTGTTGGTGTTGTTGCTGCTGCTGCTGCTGTTGTTGTTGTTGTTGCTGTTGTTGTTGTTGTTGTTGTTGTTGTTGGTGGTGTTCTTGTTGTTGTCGTTGTCGTTGTCGTTCTTTTGCTGCTGTCGTTGCTGTCTTTGAATTTCCATCGCTGAAGAAGGTGGAGTATTGTTGACCCCCCCCCTCAGGTGACCGTTTTTTTATATTATAAAAGTTGATGTGCTTCTCCTGGGCTCGCACCCTGTTTTTTTAACCAGGGAAAGTCACTAGGCTCAAACTGCGTTGTTGGCCCCTGGACTGCAACAACAGGACCCCCGCTCCCGCCTGAGACTTCCTCGTATTTACTCAGGAATCGTTCTCTCGCTCGGGACTTCCTTACAATTTATAGAGGACTCGCTCTCTCGGCGCTCTGGAATCGCCCTATCGCATGAGACTTGCTTCCAATTTACTCAAGAAACGCGCTCCTGCGTTGGAATTCCAGCAATTTACTCAAGCGCCGCGCTCTCGACACTCAGGCACCCAGGAGTCGCGCTCACGCTTTGAACTCCTTCACAGCTTATTTAGGAATCGGACTATCGCTGCCCTTCGTGGCCCCGTTGCAGCCCTTCGTGGCCCCCTCGCTTCCCTTCGGGGACCCGTTGCAGCCCTTTATGCCCCCCTCGCTGACCTTCGTGGCCCCCGTTGCAGCCCTTCGTGCCCCCCTCGCTGCCCTTCGTGGCCGCAGTGCAGCCCTTCGTGGCCCCCTCGCTGCCCTTCGTGGCCCCGTTGCAGCCCTTCGTGGCCCCCTTGCCCTTCCCCATTGCAGCCCTTCGTGGCCCCCTCGCTGCCCGTCGTGGCCCCGTTGCAGCCCTTCGTGGCCCCCTCGCTGACCAGCATGGCCCCATGTAAGTATGCCCTTCGTGGCTTCCGCTCGTTCGCGCCCGTCGCGGCCCCATGTGCATGCGCTCCGTGGCCCCGCTGTCGACCTCCGTGGCCCCCTCGATGCCCTTCGTGGCCCCGTTGCTGCTCTCAGTGGCCCCGTCTCTTGCCCTCTGCGGCCAACATACGTGTGCCCTTTGTTGCTTCCGCTCGTTCGCGCCCGTCGTGGCCCCATATGCATGCCCTTCGTGGCCCCGCTGTCGCCCTTTGTAGCCCGTCGCTGTCCTACGTGGCCCCGTTGCTACCCACTGGCTCCGTCGTTGCCCTCTCTGGCCCCGCTTCACCTGCCTCTCGTGGCCCCCGCTCGTTCGCGCCCTTCGTGGCCCCAAATACGCATGCCCTTCGTGGCCCCGCTGTCGCCCTTCGTGGCCCCCTTCCTGCCCTTCGTGGCCCCGCTGTCGCTCTCGCTGTCGCTCTCGCTCTCGCTTTCGTTCGTCGTCGTCGTCGTCGTCGTGGTCGGTCCCCTGTCAGGGTCGGGTTGCCGCCGGTCAGCGCTGCCGCTGGCCAGGCCGACGGTCCGCGGCCGCCCCGCTGCTTACTGGGGCCCAGCTTGCAGGGAAGAAAGGCATACCCCCCAAAAGGGGCATGATCGAAGACGAAGAGGGCGTGTATCGAGGATTTGGGGGAATACGCGTTGAACGAAACTGGAGCAGAACAGAGCGAACATTCTTAAACTTATTGTCGTAGTAGTAGTAGTGGTAGTAGTAGTCGTAGTAGTAATAGTAGTAGTAGTAGTAGTAGTAGTAGTAGCATCAGTTTTAGTAGTAGTAGTCGTAGTAGTAGTAGTAGTAGTAGTAGTAGTAGTCGTAGTAGTAGTAGTAGTAGTAGTAGTAGTAGTAGTAGTAGTAGGAGTAGTAGTAGTAGTAGTAGTAGTAGTAGTAGTAATAGTAGTAGTAACAGTAGTAGTAGTAGTAGTAGTAGTAG